TCACGTGACCCTGTCAACGCTTGTTCCGTCAATCATCATCAGCACGTCCATTAGTAACTAACCATGGTCCCGGGGAACCAGACTGTCCCGCTATCGCTCCGGGCTGTCTTTACGTCATTGTTGTTGGTGTTGTTTCACCATTGTGGCCCAGGTAGCCGGTGAGCGACCCGGACACGAGTTCAGCCCCGGGACAGTTACAAGGTAAATTAATCTCTGGTTTCGCAAATAATGGATTACTTACTGTTGCTGCTGCTGCAGGTAGCCTGCTGCTGCTGCTGCAAGTAGCCTGCTGCTACTGCTGCAAGTAGCCTGCTGCTGCTGCTGCTGCAGGTAGCCTGCTGCTGCTGTTGCTGCAAGTAGCCTGCTGCTGCTGTTGCTGCAAGTAGCCTGCTGCTGCTGTTGCTGCAGGTAGCCTGCTGCTGCTGCAGGTAGCCTGCTGCTGCAGGTAGCCTGCTGCTGCAGGTAGCCTGCTGCTGCTGCAGGTAGCCTGCTGCTGCTACAAGTAGCCTGCTGCTGCTGCAGGTAGCCTGCTGTTGCTGCAAGTAGCCTGCTGCTGCTGCAAGTAGCCTGCTGTTGCTGCAAGTAGCCTGCTGCTGCTGCAAGTAGCCTGCTGTTGCTGCAAGTAGCCTGCTGCTGCAGGTAGCCTGCTGCTGCAGGTAGCCTGCTGCTGCTGCAGGTAGCCTGCTGCTGCAGGTAGCCTGCTGCTGCTGCAGGTAGCCTGCTGCTGCTGCAAGTAGCCTGCTACTGCTGCTGCTGCAGGTAGCCTGCTGCTGCTGCAGGTAGCCTGCTGCTGAAGGTAGCCTGCTGCTGCTGCAGGTAGCCTGCTGCTGCAGGTAGCCTGCTGCTGCTGCAGGTAGCCTGCTGCTGCTGCAAGTAGCCTGCTACTGCTGCTGCTGCAGGTAGCCTGCTGCTGCTGCAGGTAGCCTGCTGCTGCAGGTAGCCTGCTGCTGCTGCAGGTAGCCTGCTGCTGCTGCAGGTAGCCTGCTGCTGCTGCAGGTAGCCTGCTGCTGCAGGTAGCCTGCTGCTGCTGCTGCAAGTAGCCTGCTACTGCTGCTGCTGCAGGTAGCCTGCTGCTGCTGCAGGTAGCCTGCTGCTGCAGGTAGCCTGCTGCTGCAGGTAGCCTGCTGCTGCTGCAGGTAGCCTGCTGCTGCTGCAAGTAGCCTGCTACTGCTGCTGCTGCAGGTAGCCTGCTGCTGCTGCAAGTAGCCTGCTGCTGCAGGTAGCCTGCTGCTGCTACAAGTAGCCTGCTGCTGTTGCTGCAAGTAGCCCGCTGCTGCTGCAAGTAGCCTGCTGCTGCTGAAAGTAGCCTGCTGCTGCTGTTGCTGCAAGTAGCCTGCTACTGCTGCTGCTGCAGGTAGCCTGCTGCTACTGCTGTTGCTGCAAGTAGCCTGCTGCTGCTGCAGGTAGCCTGCTGCTGCTGCTGCAGGTAGCCTGCTGCTGCTGCTGCTGCAGGTAGCTCGCTGCAGCTGCCGTGGCTGCTAGTTCGGACTGTGCGCGCTCTGCTGTGCATGCAGTCTGATGCACTCGTCCGATGTCGATCCCGTCACCCCGAAACAACCACACAATTAATTTACTTTAACCCGCACAAAAGTTGAGCAATCGTTGAAAAATGGCCCACAGCATTCTTCGGCATCGTCATTGATTTTCCTTTCCGTTGTGATTTGTTTCGATGTACGGTTATTGGACACTTGGATATGAACGGTTCCGCCAATACACGGCTATCAAAAAAATAAAGACTCGTCCATCGCGTTTCTTGTCAGCCAATTAACTATTGCCCAGAGTGGTGAAGTTGCGGTTCCTCTTTGTATAACCACAACACAATGCGGATTCTCTCACGGCGTCTGGCAAGAAGCGAGACGATCGTACACATACAGTCGCGTTTTCCATGCCCACTGTTGTATGACGGCCTCCTTTTTGAGCATACTTCACCAGGCTGGTAAGTGCGGGTTTATGAACGGAGCGTAGACGTAGTATGCAAGTGCAGCACAACTTGAGATTGTGCTCCAATGCCCTCTGCTGCCCACAAAATTGCCCGTAGTCCTGCACCATACAATATTTATATTCTATCCAGATCACGTGGAATGTGCACACTATCACAAATATCCAACGCAGGTATATATATATATGTGTGCATTGTACACACATTGCGATGTGCAGAATAATCACATTCCTGCGGAGGGAGCTGGTAGGAACGTTGGTCAATGGCCAGGGTCAACGGCGGCGTGGAGTATTCCGCAAATATGGCCGACTGTGAGGGCGGGCACAAGCCGGCGTGAGTAGGTTAAACGTTGAGTTTTATAAGGGCACCACGGGGTGACCAGCCCCTCTCCACCCTCCCCACCCAGCCCCTCCCCACCCTCCCCACCCAGCCGCTCCCCACCCAGCCCCTGCACGACGGACGGACACAATAATTCCCTGTCGGCTGGTGTAACCAGGAGGTTCCTACCAGTACAATTGTGATGACCTACGTAAGACGTCTGTATGGGTGTGCCAACCCTTAGGGGCCGTCCATAAATGACGTCACGCACCTAGGGGGGGGGGTCAGACATTTGTGACGATGTGTGATGAGGAGGGGGGGGTTTGAGAAATGTGACGTCACATCAAAATGCGCAACTTTAAATAAATATAGATAACACGTTCTACTTAATTAAATAGACTTTTGAATACATGTTTTCTCCTACAACATCAGAGTACAGCGTCACATAAAATACACACTACAATGACAATAGTTTAAAGCGATTTGAAGCATGTGTTTTTTTTTTGGGGGGGGGGGCGCACAGCTTTGTGACGTCATATGTGAGGGGGGGTCTGACTTTTTGTGACGCCGTGTGACGAGTGAGGGGTCAAAAATTGTCCAAAATCGCGTGACGTCATTTATGGACGGTCCCTTAGTAAAACAAAGCAAACGCGTTGGAGTTAGGGGGTGACAGTTGCAAGTTTGAGCACGTGTGCTTGGGAGCGGTGGCACAGTGGTTAGGTGCCGCACTGCGCTGCGAAACCGCCGACCCCCGAGTTCGATTGCCGCTCACGGCCAATGGCAGTGGCGAATATATGAACCGGTCCTTAGGCCTCTCCTTGGTCGACTCAGCCTTAAATGGGTACGTGCTGGACACGGCGCATGAACATCAGTACTGTGGAGACAAAGGCGGACGGGGCGTTGTGCTGGTCACCCACCCCCTTGAGTGCCGTGTCGGCTTTCACAAGTGCTCGGTAAACAGGACTTGTCCCAACAGTATGTTAACGCTATACGGGGTATCTTAGTATTTTGTGTGCGTGATTAATATTTACCTGCACACTAGCTCGTGTAGTATATGTAGTCTAGAATGCACGACAGTGGGTTTAAATAATGCGCGGTGTTTAAACTGTTTGCGATGTTGACAAAGATCGGGGGTATGCTTGTATCACGAAAACAAATGTGGAGCGGTGGCGCAGTGGTTAGGGGCCGTCCATAAATGACGTCACGCACCTAGGGGGGGGGGGGGTCAGACATTTGTGACGATGTGTGACGAGGGGAGGGGGGGTTGAGAAATGTGACGTCACATCAAAATGCGCAACTTTAAATGGATATCGACAACACGTTCTACTTTATTAAATATACTTTTTTAAATAAATGTTTTCTCCTACAACATCAGAGTGCAGCGCCACATTAAATACGCACTACAATGACAATAGTTTCAAGCGATTTGAAGCATATTTCGATTTAAAGCTTTCGTGACTGCAGGGATTCATCTTCTTGGTTCTTTCGGTAAAGTCGCGTAGAAGGGAAGTAATAAAATAATAAAAATAAGATGAAACCAGGTCACCTGAGGACGGCTGTTTGCGTTGTGGCCGAAACGTCGTGAGAATTATTTTATTATTTTTATTATTTTATTACTTCCCTTCTACGTGACTTTACCGAAAGAACCAAGAAGATCGATTTGAAGCATGTTTAAAAAAAAATTTTGGGGGGGGGGGGGGGCAGAGCTTTCTGACGTCATATTTCAGGGGGGGGGTCTGACTTTTCGTGACGCCGTGTGACGAGGGGGGTGGGGTAAAAAATCGTGTGACGTCATTTATGGACGGCCCCTTAACGCACTGCGTTCGGAGTGTCACAGCGCACTGCGTTCCCGCTGCGCGCTGTTCAACTCGGCGACATGAGTACAGCAGTTGCAGAGCACGGCTGGAATTGTCCAAAATGTTACGTCCCGCGAAATGAGGTGGCGTCAGAGGTATTTATCACCGATACGTTAACTGGCGTAATTTTGCACAATGCGTTACGTCACTGTTGTTTACATTATTTTTTTATGTGAATTTTTTGTAGCATTAAACATTTTACATTTACCGATTTAATATTCAGTTCCAAATGTCAAAAAAGAACATCACAACGAGTTATTCCAATTTCATGAAAGTGCGTTTAGTAAATAAATACGGAGTAAAATCCGAAATGAGTCCTAACAGTCCGACGAAGTTATATCCGAAGTCATCCCTAGAGTAGGATACTATTGTGTTGTATATTGCGTGCATACATTCCAAATGTTTGTATGTGCATCCAAAAGTCCCCTTGGGCGCTCTTGGCATGTCACATTTGTGTCCTTACAATTGTAATATACAACCGCATTACAGCACGGCGTATTCCCCGCAACTTTTAGTTGTTTATATTGTGAATTATTTAGCCTTAATTACAACCACGTATTAAACATTTATTGGGACAATTTAACGTATATATGTAAAATAAAAGGAAATTGCATATAATGCAAACGACAGGAGCTACAAATATGCATACGGTTCATATAATTGAGGCGGTGTTAACTTAATAGAATGTCAATAGCAATGCCATCAATGTATGCATGGAGGCTGATACAGTACTATGGATGGTTTGCAGTACACCGTGGCCGATAAGGCAAACTCATCACGAAGCGTCGTTGTGGAAGTGTTAATATCAAGAACAAATAACGGCTTCGCACGTACAACGGAGAATAATCGCCCAACCCATTGGCCACACAGCATTCTGCGATGTTCATCTCGGTGCATTTCATCAGCAGCATTGGTTCAATGCAAGCAACACTGCGGACCTCGGCTGCAACGTTCAGCATATCGTCACAAGCATCGGGCTTGTTTCGACCACATCTCCGGTGAACTGCGCGATGTTTATAGACGAAGGCATTTTTCTGTGATAAATGGGCCCTAGGTCGAGGCATGTTGCACAACAAGTACGTTGAACTTCCTTCACACCGTACGTAGCCAACCGTGCTAATTAGAGATGCGGGGGAAGGACAACAAACTAGACACGAAAATGATGTTCTAAAGCAATGAGTGTTCACTATAATCATTGCAGCGTCGTTGCGGAGATTGTTAATAGCAAAAATAAATAGCGGAGCCTTCGTGTATCCCCGCGTCTCGCCACGGTTGACTGAGCAGTAGGTACAGAACCATAACGGGGTGGGGAAAAAATACCCATTGGCCAATGTGAACAGTTCACACGTTCAGTGTGTCATTGCTTTCTTCAGAATAGAACACGGGTCATTATAATTATCTTTATATATAATACAGCCCTTTCTCAATCCACTGCTGGCATTATATTCTGCACTGTAAATCATGCAAATTTGTTGTGATGTTTAAGAGATAAACAATGAGGAGATTCTGGTAGAGCGATTTTATCACTCCACTGCTGGACGACGGCTTCCCCAAGCTGTATAGATCGAGGGGCTTGTTTGACCATACTTCACCACACTGGTAACGTGCGAGATGGCGGCACATTGGGGTGGGATCTTCACTCCGCTCGATACCAGAAATCTTCCAGAGCAAGGTCGGTCACCTGTGGCTCCAGAGCCGCATGCGGCTCTTTAAGCGACTCTGCTTCGTGACACCGTTATTTATTTATTTAAGCCCCACCGTCTCGTATTGACGCGCATTGCGGCTCTTGGAATATTGGTGGTTGTTTTGCCGAAATCGACAAACACATATCTTCTTGTTATTTTGGCTGTCGACCGCTGTTCTAAAGCGTTTATCTTTCGAGCGTGACAAGTGCCGTATCTTCACATGAACTTCCGATTAGCGCGGTTGGTTACGGACGGTGCGAAAGAAGTTCAATATACGTATATACATGAGTTATAACCCAGCATAAACTCATCATAATCCCAGCCATGGTCTATCCACTGCTGGATGAGGAGGGCCTTCCTCCAAGCCGTCGCCACCATCCCGTTAGGATTCTCCCACCGACCCAGCCTCCCACCTCCCACCCAAGCCACTACATATGTCGCCGTCTCGACACATGTCGCCGTCTCGACATATGTAGCCGTCCGTTCGCTGCGGGCGTGTGCGTGCTCGCGAGTGAGTGCGTGCGTGCGTATGTGTTGGCCACCCGCCCCCTCGTGTACCGTGCCGGCCTTCGTTGGTGCTCGCTCACAGCATTTGCCACCCCCCTGTAGTCTGTTAAGCTATAAGGGGGATCTTTGCCTTTGTGTATGTACACACACACTCTCCTCTCTGTACACGTGTGATTGTGCCACTGCAGCAACAGCTTGAAGGGCGCGCGCCACGCCAAACCCCTCTGTTTTCGCCCTCTTCCGAAATGAAGCAATTCCCACAACCAGACAGAACCACGAGTCCGTTGATCAACTGACTCTCTCGCCCCCCCCCCCCCCCCGCGTCTCCTGAGCGGAGTTTTCTTGTGTGACGCGCGACAGACCGCCTGCCCTGCGCCGGTATAGACGATGTTAATGATTGACCGTTGCTGCTGCTGCTACTTGTTTCTCTTACAGATTGACAGCGATGGGCAGACGGCATTTTTCCCGAGTAACTCCGTTGTTATTAACGATAACGGCGCTTCATAATCATCATCGTCATTATCATCATCATCTATTGCTTTGTCGGTCGACAATCGTCCAATCTTATAATAGTAGTTAAATATATCTATATATTAATATGCAGAGTCTCAATTCTTACATATGACAAAGGCCTCCAAGTGTAATGTGGGTTAATCAGGGATTTGTTTTTTCTATCCATACTTCACCACGCCGGTCAGAGCGGATTGCCAAAAAGGATAACCCAAGGGCAGGTGTTGACATAGCTTGCTCAGCGGTGTTGGCCGTGGTCAGGAGTCGAACTCAGGTAGCCGGGCTTATAGCACAGCGCGCTAACCACGGTACCACCGATCCATCTCCATCCAGTCACATATACAGTCTATACTATACATATACTGTATTTAGTCAGTGAAAATAATTGAATTAATTGCATCACCCACGTGAGCGCATTATGTCACAGTACAGGAATCTATTAATTGTAATTCATTACAGCTGCGTGCCTTGAGAAGGGATGAGGTGATGTTTTGTATTCAATATTTAATGTGACGGTTCGAGCGGTGGTGCTGCGGTTAGCGTACTGCGCTACGAACCCGGCCTAATCCGAGTTCGATTCCAGGCCACGGCTCGCATAAGCCGCGAGTGAAATGTGAACCGACCCCGGTCCTGGGTAACCAGATTAACCAATAACCCACAATGACCGGCGTGGTGAAGTATGTTCAAACAATCCACACAGGTTGACACGGCGTGAGTGGGGGGGGGGATTTCAAGCGGTGAATTTACACAGGTCTGTAAATTATATTATCATTGATATCACTGTATAAATATCTAACTTTGTAGACAAATCATTGTGAATATTCTGAATCATGATTTGTAAATGTATATACAAACGAAAACAATTCAGATATACATTTGGCCATTATAGTAGCGTTATTGCATTGCGCTTATGAAACTTTATGAAATGACATACGTGCATGAATGAAATTATATCTCACTTTAAATACACTACTCGTGCCAATAGTATACAACTGTTGTAATATACAGACAATATGGATGTGTATACGACGTTTAAATAAACATAAGCGCAGACAACCCTATTGTATCGTTATAAGCAAATGACCCATCAAGTGTGTAAATGGACTGTAATTAAATAGAGTGAAAACAGAATAATACACATTAACATTAGCTGCGAGAACGTACAGTTAAAATGTATGTTCAGAGCTAATCTGGTGGGTTATTATTTTCTTTCGTAGGCGACACGATGCGTTTTTGCGTATAAGCTACATCAGATGAGGAACTTCACTCAGGTAATTAACTACAGGCTGAGCTCGCTGTTGCTCCTAATTAGGAACGTAGCAAGCACGTGGCGCGAAGAGAAGCGATGCTTAAACATCATACCGTTTATACCAATTAACATGATTGCATTTGCGCAAATGCTTTGCTCTTATACAGAATATATATAGAGATTTCCCATATCTGCATTGCAAACGATCTTTTAAAATTGCGTTATTGCATAGTTGGTGCATACAAAAAAAATCTGCAGTACAATACAATATACAATGAATCACTGGAAATTGAAGGCCTTCGCTCCAAAAGCGTGTCCGGCTATGTTGCGTCATCTATTTCGATTCCTGATCTTTGAGCGTCGAAGCTACTACGCAATCGCCCCCCCGAAATGGAAGTAACATTTGTTTAATTAATGTAGAGGGGTATTTGGAAAAGTCCAGCCTAATGATAAGATCATAGTTTTAACTTGCGCAGTATTCGCTCGCTCGGAAACATAAGGGTTCGTAGGCGTGAGGAACCACAGACAAGCCGGCGCAGACGATTGCCCAAGCTCAGAAGATGTTTTCAGCCAATGCGTGGCGACTAGAGGTAATCTTGCGTGTTATATACAATTGTAAGCGTCGCTGTGGGAAAATGTAAGCAGAACTGCGTTCTGCCGTGCACACAACTAAAAGTCCATCAGATGATCGGCCTTCAGGACCAATACTATGAAAGTAACATTTATCCGAGCAAGTAACATTCTGGACCGGTTTGGATCCACTGGATCTCATCGGCTTATAGTCAGGCTCGTTATAAACAAATGCTGCTGAATTAGAAAAAAAAATATGGTAGTGGTAAGAGCACTCCGTTTAAAATATACCGGGGGAGGGGACGTGACCGTGGGTGGATCGCGTCTCGCCCCCCTCCTCGTTTACCATCGCGGCGTTGAACGCAAGTGCACACAATGATACCTACCCTCGCTGCTACGATACCACGCACCCACAACTGTCTACGACCGCACAGTGAAATGCCATTGGCAATGTAGCGTGGTAAATGTGCCCCCCCTCCTACTTGCCTTGCTGCACTTATTCCTTCGCCCCCATCCCTCGCCACACTTGTGTACCCCAGGTTGCCCGTGGCATCATCCACCACCACCACCCACCCACTTATAACCCAACCGGCTCTCAATGCGTGGCGTGCGGGCACGGCAAAACAGCGCACATCATCCAACGTAACACATGCACCACGGCTTGGTAAAAGCGTGTGCCGTGTATCGTGTACGTATGCTGTGTTTTTAGTGGAATTCGCTTAGAATGCTGTACTGTGTACACGTTGTGTTATCAGTTGGGATATGTGGATCGGTGGGCCTCGGCAACAACGTGTATGGGTGCCCGTGGTCACTTCAATGACACACAGGCGTGATCGCGCAGTATATGTATATATACATACGCACGCATATGTACGGCTAATCTCGTATAACTCGGCGCTAATGTTTTTTTGTTTTTGAGAAAGAAAGCAATGTATTTAACGAAATTATTGACCACAGCGTATTCTTCGTAATGCTCTTCGGCTGCCAAAATGTGTTTTGCTCGTCCGAGTGAATGCGACGCCCGATGCTGCACAAATAATCCACAGCGATGCTACGGGGATGTGCGGAGCTTTTGCCGAATGCTTCGTTGACGTTGCGGTTTGTAAACGAAAGATGTTCCCTTCGTTAACGCGTTGTCTTGGCCGAACGCGTTAAAAACAACTCGTTCCGATAACGATACACGTGGACAAATACCACAATCCGGCGAAAGCCTCTATCGACTAAGAAGACGGCACGCTGCAACGCATGTGGGCATTTGGAGAGCAATCGTTCATAAATAGCTCACCCCCCACCCCTCTCGCACGTGCTTTTATAACAAACGAAACAAGCCGGAACAATCTTTTAAAAAAATAGAATCAACACAAACACCGTCAAAAATCCACGAGCGGCGGACGTGGCAACGGCTCGCTGGCTCTCTGGCTCGCTGGCTCTCTCGGCTCTCTCGGCTCGCTGGCTCTCTCGGCTCTCTGGCTCTGGCTCTCTCGGCTCGCTTGCTCGCTGGCTCTCTCGGCTCGCTTGCTCGCTGGCTCTCTGCTCGCTGGCTCGCTGGCTCGCTGGTTCTCTGGCTCGCTGGCTCTCTGGCTCTCTGGCTCTCTGGCTCTCTGGCTCGCTGGCTCGCTGGCTCGCTGGCTCGCTGGCTCGCTGGCTCGCTGGCTCTCTAGCTCGCTGGCTCTCTGGCTCGCTGGTTCTCTGGCTCGCTGGCTCGCTGGCTCGCTGGCTCGCTGGCTCGCTGGCTCGCTGGCTCGCTGGCTCTCTAGCTCGCTGGTTCTCTAGCTCGCTGGCTCGCTGGCTCGCTGGCTCTCTGGCTCTCTGGCTCGCTGGCTCGCTAGCTCTCTAGCTCGCTGCCCCTCTTCTTTATTCCGAGCGGGGAGCTCCGGAGCGCCGCTATTGCCAAGGGACCTCGCGCATCACAAGACGCCTCCCCGACAGGTGCAGCCGCGAGCGCAGAAGAGGCTCGGCACGGGCAGAGCAACAGACACGACCGCGGCTGCGCAGGCCACTCCCGAATACAAAACAACACAAAGCCTCCTCCTCCTCCAACCTCCTCCTCCTCCTCAATTTGTTCTTTCCTCCCCTTCGCATCTCGTCCCCTGCAGGCACGCGTGAGGCGGCAGGCAGGCCACGATGTCAGCGCCTTTTCCGGGGCTCATGCATGAGGCTGAGGTAGGCGAGAGCAATTGCTCGGTGCTTTTGTGGTTGTGGAGGGGTTTTATTATTTTGGAGCGATGCGGAGGGCGAGTGTTGCGAGGAGAGAGAGAGAGAGTAGGGGGGGGGGGTGTTTGACCGTCAGAGTTGACGAGATGGGCTCGGGCTTGTGCTCTCGTGCATCGTGAGACGTCTGTCGCCCGCGGGAGGAGTCCGTTGCGCCGACTCCCGCACCGCAACAACACAAAACCACCCGAGTCGCTGCTAACATCTTGGGTCTTTATTTTCCCTGACAAACCCATCCTCCAATTACCTCCCAGATTAACGCAAACTGCGAGTTTTCATTAAGCTCTCGTGCACCGGCTGAACGAGCCACTGACGCGGATGTCTGTTAGTAATTTATTTTTCTTCTTCTTCTTGTTCTTCACAGTTTCCACTTTTGAGCCGAGTCATTTTGTTTAAAAGCTCCCCTCCCAATTGCCCCTCTAGGCGAGGCGTTTAATGTGGCGGGCGCGGCGGCAGCGGCTCCAAGTCTCTCCCCCCCCCACCACCAGCACCACCGCAACCTCACGAACACCACCATCACCTCCCCCCACCACCACCACCTCTTTTAACCCCCCCACCACCACCGCTCGCAACCCCGACCCAGATGCGAGCTGACGGCTCCAACAGCTACCGACTGATGCAGCTGGGCTGCCTCGAGTCATCGCCGTCTCCCCTCGCCTATCCGGCCGCGGCGGCGGCGGCGGCGGCGCCTGACTTCGGATCGGCCTACTTCTCGGGCACGCCGCAGTACAATGCCCTGCACCACCACCACCACGCGCAAGCCTTCCACTACGACTTCCACCACCAGGGCGCCGCGGCGCACACGGCGGCCGTGGCTGCCGACGCGTACCCGCTCACGCCTCTGCATCCGTCGCAGCAGTACTACCCCCAGTTACACCACGGGCACTCGTCGAGCGAGCAGGCGACGGAGCTCCACGCGGGTCTCCACGCCGGGCTGGCCGGGGCGTGCAGGGCCCTCAAGCCCGCGTCGGGGCTCGAGGAGCAGCAGAGGCGCGACCTGGCATGCTTCGAGGCGTACCACCGCCGCCACGACATCTCGCTCATGGGCCACGCGGGAGGACAGTTCGGGGTGCACCCCGATCAGCTGTTTCTGCCGGGTCCCCCCCTCGGCCTGGCCGCGCACGGAGGAGAAGACAGCCCGGTAAGATGCCTCCACTGGCGATCGGAACTTCCTTCCCCTCCACGCGACTCCCACCGCCCCTCAACAACAGCAGCAGCAGCCCCCCATCCTCGTGCCCACAACTTCCTCTAGCCCTCCTTGTACTTGGCGATGGGGGGAATGTTCTTGTGAAGTGTGGCGAGTTGAGCGGGCGAGGTTGTTGTTGTTGTTGTAGATCGTGTAAATTGTATTGAGAGTTTAGACGACCACCGAGTTGAGCCGTCTGACCAATGCGGCGTCACTATTTGTTAAGTGGCCAATTAGCAAAGCAGTAATTGTGATCGCTGAACTGTGTCCTGAAAGTGAGCCCGGAAAACAATATAGCGTAAAGTGTGTACGTGAAGTATTATGTACAGGTAAAATAAAAACTAGAGCGATTGTTGAAGGAAACGTTCCTTGAAGGCTAGTTAACTGAAACGTCGAACGTTTTTTCTTTCTCAATACCAGGAAAAAACCCGTATTTAAATGGACTTATGTTGTGTATAGAGCAATTTCAATAAAGCAGCAACTTGATAATCTAGTGTTAAATATTGAGATTATTATCGGGAGTAGGTTTTGATTGTTTAGTTTTATCGGTAATGACATTGAACTTATTTTTACACACCTACATCAATGGGGGACTGCATATAGCATAGTTTTTATGCAAAGTGTCCAATGTAATACAACGCTATCAAAATCACAATACAACACAAATATGTTTTGCATTGAACAGCTATAATTCGGATGTAAAGTGGAGCAGATACGACACATTCGGCAAACTGGTCTTATTCAGAAAATATTTAGGCTTACAAGGAGAGATAATTTTGTAGTTTGGTACATATTTGCATTGGTCTATTGCATTTTTGAATCTGTATATCGGTGACCGCAATATTTTATTCGCTTATAATGTTATAAATATTGTACAGTTTTAACGTAACGATACAAATCCATAATTTGTAACGGAATGAACCAATTTAGAAAAAAAATTAACTACGTTTGACATTGCGTTGGCACATGGTGCATAAGCACAAATGACAAACTCAACATTAGTCAAAATTGTCCAACGTTTCGGGAAATCACCCTTCAAATTTGCATTTCTTCGTGATCTCTCGTACGAGGAGTTATTGCTTGAATATATCGTCTTTAAGAGAAGCGTCGAGTTTTTATAATGAATTTAGCAATCGCTAGCAGTTCATTTTGAAGTAAATGCATTTGTTGAACAACTTGCAACGTGAAGATTCAACGAGCATTTAGGTACACGCGCAAGTTAACAGATCGTGATTTAATTTAGTGCTAGCGAAGCATTCAGCAGAAATCAATGTAAAGGGTTGCCTCGCTTTACGCGGTAGTAGATGCGTTCCAAAAAAGGGGGGGGGGCGCACAAAGCGAAATCGCACGAGCAGCGCACACAGTACACGAACAATGTTCTCCCACGTCTGACCACAAAAGCCGCATATGAGAGAATTCACACCGCATATAGCGATTTTTTGGTATAAAAGGGTTAGCCGCATATATGGGGCGAAATTGTTCAAACGGAACCCGCATAGTGCGAGGGAAACCTGCAATCCGTATCTGTGACCCGCGCCTCTGCAATCGCACAGATTTAACGACGAGTTAAATTATCACGCTAACTGAGCAATTGGGTTAAATCGTGTTTGTCTGTGTAACTCGATTTGCACGAGTCCTCTGTGAATGCATCCAGCAGCAGTAACATTGACTCGCATTATTAGAGTAACATTAACTCCGACGCGTGATTGCCACAGCTTGTGAACAACACAATGTGAGTACTCTGTGTCCTAACACACACACACGCGTTGTGTATTTTCAATGCTGCAAGCAATGTTGTGTAGTAATCAGTACTGTAATACAGTATGCATTTCTCCGTAGTATATTCATCGTAATTAAATCACGAGCAAAATGTGTTTTTTTTCTTCAAATTAATTAATGCGAGGATTTATTTTTAATTTGTCGAGCGCTAAGATAAAGTACAAAGGTAGCCGATCGTTAATTTGGTACAAATGCGGCGCATTGTTAATTGTTTACAGTTAAACATTTGAATCGCTCACGACTCGAGGTGGGGTGGTTTGGAATTAAAATGCAATAAAGCATTATAATTGTCGTGTTTTGCCTCGCATGCAAAGCGGCACATTTTGTAATGCGAAATATTTAATGTGCACTCGACAATTCACGCAATAATTTAGTTCATTACAACACGAGCAAAATAAACGAGCGTTAATTATAGCGCGATGCATGAGAGAGCTGACGACCCCACTCGCTCTATATTACGTGTGTGTGTGATACTCTCTCTGTACGCGCATGCCGTGGGTGATGTACGTGCATACAATGGTGCTGTTGTAATTAATTAACCTAATTTAACTGCAGACTCGGTTCTCACAGGTGTGTAGATTTTATCCAAAGAGAAACCGAAAAACACAATTAGATCTTGCTCACAAAAAAACACAAATACTGTACGGACTTTTTTATGGCTCTCAATCTTGTGGGTCATCTGATCTGCATTAGAGTATGTAGTCAGCTCGGCAGACTACAACAACTACTACTACCACGTGGTACGTGTGTACACGTTCAGACTACAACTACCACGTGGTACGTGTGTACATTTTCAGACTACAACTACCACGTGGTACGTGTGTACACGTTCAGACGACAACTACTACTACCACCACGTGGTACGTGTGTACACGTTCAGAGTCCAAACGATTTGATTCTCTGGTAGGCGGGTGGAAATGCTTTGAACTATTTCGTGGGCAGCCTGTCGTACGAACGGGGTGACGTGCCACTCGTAATATATAGACACACACAAAATACGTTTAATAATTTCATTTCAAAGCCGTGTTAAAGCACATCGGCGTGTAACACTCCGTTATATCGCACAGGCTGAACGCTGCTGTCCCACCGCAGCTGACGCGTGCGGAGCGGCCCTACGATGCGGCTATGCCCGCTGATCATGGCAGCGACTCGCGTGCCATGTAAACACGCGCCACTTACACTTCCTAAACAATGCGAACGGGATCATATTCGCAAAGATATCAGGATGCAAAGAACCCCCCTCCCCCGTAGAGCCTTAACTGTCTGTAGAAGTAAGTGCTGTTCGCGAACACCTATCAAGGGCGGAACAGCACACGATGAGATGGGCCGCCAGCGCCGGGCCGCCTTTGTCTCCCTAGTGGCGATGTTTACACACCACACCAAGTACTCATTTGAGGCCGAGTCGACCTAGGGGAGACCCAGGACCGGTTCAGATAATCGTCACTGGCGTGGACCGTGAGTGAGAATCGAACCTGGGTCGCTGGGACCGTGGCGCAGTGCGCTAACCGTGACGCCACCGCTCCCCGACAATAGACAATCGTCAACACACGAAATAGGCCCCGTGATAGCTGATTACCAGGCTGGTGGGACACCCTTTATTAAATTGTGTAGCTATGAATGCCGGAACGACGCACGTTGGTGCGAGTGGTGTGGAAAGCTCCGCGGCCGGCCGTCTTTGTCTTCCCAGTGCTGCTGTTTACACACCGTGCACACACAACATATACGCGCGCGTATGTTGCTGACGTAACTTCATCGATCTGAATTTGTTCAATATTTTGTGTAATTGCATATACAGTATTTAATACAATGAAACAATTCAAATGAGTACACAATTTGAACTGTCGAGATTAGTAATTGGGTTTGGGCAGTTTAACACGTCGGCTTTCGCGACCAATATTATCCATAATAAAGGTATTTTTTGGGGTTAGATCGCGTAAATATAAATTGCGTCGTTAAAACCGCCACCACCCGACGCAGGCAATTGCTTGGTTTGTCACGTAAAACAAAAGATGACAATTGAGTTATTACTTCAGCACATCGCTTGTGTGTTGGAGAGTAAACCCACGCTGGAAGGGACGATGATGATGGTGGTGATGGTCGAGAGTAGTGCGGAGTGGCAGCGCAAGGAATGGAAGGAATGTGGCCGTGGGGGAAATCACCACGCGTTACACCAACAACAACCACAACAACAACAACCACAGATGATGCTGCTGCTGCGTGGATCGTTACTACATCGCGTGGGATGGCGGTGGATATGGAAATTCGTTTTCATCCAGCAGTGGATTGACCATGACGGTGAAAATAACTTTTTTTTTAAACAACGATACAGTATATCGTACTGTGTATAGAATTAAATTCCGAGGAGGATACTTCGACGCATCCGCAAACCGAATAGCCTGTGTTGGTGATGGACATACGCGAACTATGAGGATGCCTTCAATATATTTTTTGAGTGCAGTATTTATTTTAATAAAAATATGTATGTACTTATGCTGCGATAGGATTATTGTTTGTATCGGTGTCACAATCTGGAACGTGTCTCCAGAAACGTATAATAATTATTATGATTATCAATGTCTGCAACCGTCTTACTGTTGCTTGTAAAAAAATCCACAATTAACCATTATTCAGAGGCTCATTAAAAAAAGGCCACTATACACGCAGGAGAAATCGAACCACTGTTTGCTTGCTTAGACGAATGCTGTTGAATGATATTGATCTCGAAAGCCGTTGGAATAAAACTAAGTTTGTATTTATAGATGGGGATTATAGAACGGAGTTCTACATATATATTATAATGAACCTTTAAAACAGGGTCACAATTCGACATCGAAAATGTTACCTTCCGTCCAGTTTTATTCAAATACCGCAACAATGTTTATATCAAACTCCGCTTATCAACAACGACAAAAAACATTATCATTTAAATAAGTCACAATAAAAAAAACGGAGGAGTGGGGGGATTTGGTGGGTCGAAACATAAAACAAGAATAGTTGAGAACATTATTCGGTGGTGACCTTTCGCATCTGCCACGAGTGACTCTGGCTCAACCACTCGATCGCATTGACGCCGTGAAGTCCACACAGATGTGGGGGGAGTGGCGCGTATGGGGGTTGGGGGGCACATCTTTTACGCCCCCCACCCCCCAAAATCTAGCGACCAGCCGCTGCTTGTGATTGCGTGCGAGTGCAGTCTGATTAATCTGGGTCGAGCCGAATGTACCACTGACACACACATATACTGCACGTGCCAGAGAGTGCGTGTGGTCGTATGTGTGCCATGCCGGCCTTCATCGGTGCTCGCTAGCAGCACTTTCCCCAACACTCTGTTGAGGCTTTCGGGGAGATATTTGTATTTGCTTGTGCAGCAGTTGGCACGCTGCGATTCGAACTCGGCGATTCGAATTCCGATTTTCGTTGTCCGTCCTGGGCCTCCCCTAGGTCGACTCAGCCTAAGTTGAGCACCTGGTGCGATGTGTGAACATCAGCACTGGGGGGGGATACAAAGGCGGCCGGGCATGGTGCTGACCACCTACCCCCTCGTGTGCTCGCAAACAGCACGCGCTCCAACAGTCTGTTAAAGGCTATAAGGGGGGGGGGGTCTTTGTGTGTGTTACTTACAATTAGCATCAAGTGTGCAAAATCGTGCGTGAGCACGCCCGTAGGTTGACACCTCGCACACACGCGTACTGTGCGTCTGTCGGCAATGTCGTTTGAAAAGGCTTCAATATCTCGGTGTGACCTTATGTGATTTTATATCTGTGCGTAATTATACTTTTCGCGGTGAAGTATGGTCAAACAACCCTCACCCCATGATAATTTTTCAGTGTGGAGGGGGGGAGACTTAAAACCCAATCCAGCAGTGGGTTTATGAAAGGTTGTGAATTATTACTACTGTAACAATTATTAGCCGACGTAAGAGTCAAGGAATGGGAACGCGTTCGAGGATGAAATCGATCCGTTATCGGTGCAAGGTGCCAATGTGGATTCTTCTTATCACATCGCAGGATCGTGCAGGTGGTGACGTGGTGGGGTAAGGGAGTGGTGGGAGGGCGGGAGGACGGGGGCTTCATCCAGCAGTGGAATTACAAGGCCCTTGTAAAGCATTAACATTTTACATTGTGTTGCTATTAAAATGATGATGACGATGATGGAGTGCTCGCGCACACTCCCAACTGGTCCAGCATTGTCCGTGGAGCTGATCCCTCTTGGAACAAAACTAGGGGGTGGGGGGGGGGGCTCTCGGACGAGCCGATCAGCCTCGCCGATTAAAAGTAACGCTTCAGAGTTTATCCAATTGTGCGACTTTAACGCCGTTATTGTACAGCGACACCAGCAGCAACAGACGCCGTCGGGGTTTTTTTGTTTTCTTCTTCGTCTTCCTCTTCCTCCTCCTCCTCCTTTAACTCTTCCCGCATTTCGTAAGGCCACCACCGACAAAAGGCGGACTGGGGGCGGCAGACGACGGATTTAAGTGCTTCAGAGCTTATAAAATTAGCGGCAGAGAAAGGGCGAGTTAAAACACGAACAAAAAAACCCCGGCGAGCTCGCCTGGCTCAATAAAGAAATAAATTAATAGGCAGCTCGCTAAAAACGGGGGCACCTCAAAGCAAACACTTTGTTGGGATAATGGATATGTTAAGGAAGGGGAAAACGTGGTGGTGGGTTGGCGCTTTACTTTAAACGCTTTATTCACCTTCCACCCTGCAGTCTACTTCGCGTGGTGGGTGTTTAAAAGATATATAAAGCTTTCTTGGCACTGGCAGATGGATGCGAGAGGAGGAAGCGGCCTCCTCCCCCCCCCCCATTTTTTTGTACAGCCACAGCACCTACGGAGCAGCGGCTCTGGCGCTGAAACTCCTCGAGAGCGTGCGGCCCTATGAAGAGATTTGCCGTGGCGGATAATGGGAGCTGTCACAACCTCTGCTCGCCGTCACGCGCCCACAGCCTCGAGTGTCAGTCACCGGGCACCCACCCACCCCGGTCCCTGCTTAAAAGCCCGAATCACAGGAGGCGGCGCTGACAAGGCTGACGGAGAGAGGCGCACTTTCATTTTGCTTACAACAGTTGCCCCCCACCCCCCACACACATTTCGCTCGCTCGCTAGATCGTGCTAAAAAAAAAATCCCATCCCACTGGCGTGTCTTTTAACCGTGTCACGCACCGACAAAAATAGAAAGATCTCTCCCGTGTGTAGCCTTTAACATACTTTTTGGGGCAAGTGCTGCTGTTAGCGAAGGCCTGCACGACACACTCACACTTCAGACAACTGTACCATACACACATATATATATATACGCCCACGTACACCTATATAGTCCACGCATACGTGTGTTTATATGTAAATTCGTCATTTATTGTGAGTCTTGGTCAATCCAAAGTTGGTCGAAGGCCTCTCCCCGATGCCGCCGCTACCTGCGACGATCCTGTGAAAGTAATAACAACGATCCCATCGATCGCCACCTTGCACGCGAGCTGATTTCATTGTTCCGTTTGCCCGGTGGATGCTGGATAATGCAGATTATAAATTCGTATTGTGCTTAGCCCCATTACCTTCACCATGAAACAAAACGAGGCCTTGCCTCTGAATGCGCATCCTTCGTGTGTACCAGCTAATGTGCTCACAGAAGGACATTTACTTAGATCCTACAGATTCGCCTCTACCGATGGATGTGCATTCATTGTGTTCAGCTTCACGGGCTCAAACAATTAATTTGTGTCAATTAGGTTTCACATGTTTTCCCCCCTACACATTTGCAACGTGGGCATGTGTTTTTTTGTTGTAATTTTAGTCCAATCATCAAATCGTGGTTGTAAATTGCGCGCGCTCGTTTGGTGTAATGTGGATAACACGTGGTGGTGGCGACGATGATTTATTACGCTAATGGGATGCAGAGGAATCGTGAAAAGGCCCTTAATCTTTGCATAAAGGGATCGCATAAGGCGACGCAACCGCTGTGCACAATGTGTTTTTTGTAAAAAAAAAAAATCTCCCTTCGTGTTTCCATTTGCCCAGGGCTGCCTTGAAGGACCAAGTGGATTGCTCATCAATGGCCCAGGCGGTGTCATAAGGAGGGGTAAGACATTCGGGACCATGGCTGTGCACACATTGCCAAAGTGTGTCACGTCTGCACACGAGTTTTGTTTGTTTGTTTATACAGCTGCTTGACTGCTTAAAATGTATACGCATATATATAGCGTGCAGGCATACAGCAGCATACAAGCCCTACACATATGCACACACAAGCAACAAAGTACATGTACTGCATATACTGTAGGCTATACACAATGCAGTAGTGGTGAGCTTCGACCAGCGGTGGGATCGCTGCATGTTTTGTTGAGCTCAGGACACAGTAAAAACACCTCGGTCATAAACAAATAGGTTTCCTTCTTGGCTGATGGTAAACATTGTCGTTCATAATGGAGCAATGACCAAAGTGTAGCCGAGGGTTGTTGTTGGTCACTGCTGACTTTGATCATAGTTCGTGCACTGAGCGATCGATTTGTAAGGTACCTCGCTTTAAATCGTATGGAGGAATTGGAGAGAAACGAAACATTTTATTTTGAATCTCCACACGTCGACCCACCGATCTCAATACACGTATTATGATTGTTACTGTTGTTTCAACACGTTGTAAGATAAGGAGCCATCACTTCCACAGTAATTAAATCGTCTGAGGAAAGTAAATGGTGGTTAGATGTCCGTGGGGAATTTCTAAATGCATCACCCTCTATATAACGAGGCTGACTGTCGTGTATTAAGTATGAATTAATCATTAAATGCTTGCAGTGATTTACTGCGTCAGTGTAACCATCCAATTGTACAATTTCTTTGACTGCCACCTATCATGCACTGAATAATAATACGATGTGAATTATCGAGAATACATTTGTGTACCAGTTGTTATGTACATGACCTTACACTATGGGAAAAATATATTAATTGCTTGATATTGTTAATGTAATCCACGTGCCCAACCCATTGACAATCCACTATTGTGCAAGGTTAATTGATATAAATAAGTACACATATTTTTACAGATACTATACATCTTTAAACACTGCCTTGCACCGTCGTTCCGTTACGATACCATTGGGTCTTTAATGTCCCATTTTAGAGATAGTTGCGCACTTTGGTAATCACCATGGAAAATCACGTGGCATAGGTGCGCTGTGCCGTATATTAATTAAGCGCAATGCCAAAAACGTTAAGATTCGCATTCCTGTCATAATCCATTGGCGCATGTATTTGTTTAAATGTTATTAAATTTATAAACTTGTAGCAATCATTAATTTACAATTGATGATTTTTTTATGAATGTGAAATAATTACAGTAACGATCTACGGTACTTTGCAAGAGAGATGTGCAGACCTGCTACGTGTATGCAAAGAATAACAAAACACATTCTTGTTTTTTTTCAATCTCAATTCAGTTGTGGATATATTAGGGACTTGGCATTTGGGCCACGTAATCTGTGTAACTGATTCTTTAAAACCCACTTTGTCTGGCTAATAATAATACAATCTTAAAACCCCTGCTGAAACAGGCAGCATGTTCTGTCTAATACCCAGTAGCGTTTTTTTTTACGGAGCCCAGGTGAGAATCATTCAAATACAGCATAAAATGGCCCAGAGGCAAACATGCAGGAGTGAACGTGTACCAATCCTGCATTGTATAATCTGAATATGTGTACATATATACACACTGAGCAATCGCTTTCACAGGAGTCAATCGCCTGTTGAGGGCAATTATGGTCATTCGAAATCGGTGGGGGTATCCGTTGGCCCACGTGATTTCCTGTATAGGTATTCAAGCCTCCCGTTAGTCCATTAATAGTCTATCGTGACAGAAGATCTCACTGCTGAGCTCGGTTGTACTGTAAACCGATGGTTCGATTTCGGCTTAGAGCTATCACCAGCTGCAGTATTGTATTCGTCAAATTATAGCGGGCGCTGTAGATTGTAGTGTAGTTTGTAAGAGCAAGATAATGGTGTGCCATTATCACAAACCTCTAACCCGCTTTCAGAAACTTTACCCCGTGTGTCGAAGTAAGTGTTTGCTAAATGTGACTAGAGTACCGGTACATTCTATCTACAACGGGAGTAATCAGAGTGGCGGAGCGGTGGCCCAGTGGTTAGTGCACTGCACACTAAAAACCCGACGACAGGATTTTGATTCACGGCAACAGCTGCTCACATCAGTGGCGACTGATATCTGAACCGATCTCAAGTACCTCTACCCCCACACTTCTTCCCGGTCTTGACCAACCTGCATTGGCCAAAGCAACGTGGTGAAGTTTGTTAAAACAGCTCCCACGACCCGTGTGGAAACGGCTTGGTTGATGCCTTTCATCAAGCAGTGGATTGACCATGGACTGTTATTCTGCGAAATAACACATTTCAATTTACAATGGAGAAACAAAGGCAGTTTGACGTGGCGGTGGATTCCCCCGCCGGTGAATGTCCGGTGTCTATTGGACATCTGTGAAAAAGAGCTTTACAGTCCATCGGATTCCTCCAGCATGAATACATATTCTGATTGGTGCTCGCTAACAGCACTTGCCCCAACAGTGTGATGAGGCTATATGGGGGATATTTGTATCTGTGTATTGCGTGTGTGGGGAGCGGTAGTGTAGCTGTTAGCGCGGCGAACCTGAGTTCGAGTCCCGCTTACGGCCAACAACAGTTACGATTGATTGAATCTGTCCTGGGCCTCCCCTAGGTCGACTCGGCCTCAAATGAGTACCTGGTGCACTGGGGAGACAAAGGACGGGCGGACGTGATGCTGGCCACAGACCCCCTCGTGTGCCGTGATGGCCTTTATAGGTGCTGGCTTTATTGCACTTTTGCCAAAACATGATATACGGGTGGGGGGGGGGAGATTTTTGTCTTTCTGTGTGTACGAGTGAGAGATTGTTAAAGTCCTTTCCCTGCACCTTCGATTATTATCACGGTTGGCTATGTACGGTGCTAAAGAAGTTAAACATACATACAAAGTGTTTGAGTTATAATCTCACATTCGCGCACACCCCAAGACAAAGATTCGGCCCATATATCCAGAACAGACTGGTGGGGCAAGTGCCGTTAGCGAGCACCTATGAAGGCTACCATGGCACACGAAGGGGTGGGTGGCCAACACCACGCCCGGCCGCCTTTGTCTCCCGAGTGGCGATGTTTACACACACACATCGCCACCAGGTACTCCATTGAAGCCGAACTCGAACAGGCTCATGACCGGTTCAGATAATCGTCACTGGTGTTGGCCGTGAGCGGCAATCGAACCCGGATTGCCGGGTTCGGAGCGCAGTGCGCTGACCGCTATATTACCACTACCTCACACACACACAACACACTATCATACTCTCACTTAACACACGGCCAAGCGCTATCGACACGCGTGGTCTGTGAGCGGTGGAGAAGGCGGAGGCGGCGCGCGCGCGCGCGCATCGCTGCTCGCTCAGCGCGTCGCCGTCTGACGTTGCGTGTGATCCGCTCCTCCGCTCGCCGCGGGCGACCCCCACAGCCTAACCGAGACTTTCGCCCAGGGCGCAAAAAAAGAGGGGAGGAGGAGGGGGGAGAGAAGTATAGCTGGGGGAGGGATGGTGGGGTGGTGGGTGGAGGGGAGGGTGTATTGTAGACGGGCGCTCTCTCTCTTTTTTTTTGCGGATTCCACCCTCGCTTTTTTTTTGCCGTCGGCGACAGAAACTACAAACTGCTTTTGAATCAAAACATTTTCAACATTAATATGAACGAAACGGCACCGCACATATCGCTTTGCTTGTAACGTTGCCTGCCCCCCCCCCAACCGATCTCGGCGCGTCGAGAGGCGCCTTCATGAGATAATTTGTATATGTCACAACCCTAAAAGGGCTAGAGCCCCTCTCGCCAATCGTAGCCAAAGCCCCAATTAGCATCTTTTATAGCGAATTCTCTCCCTACCCCACCACACCACCAAACAAAAGCCACGTGGCACGGAGGAGATGCGTGCCATCGTGCGAAGCGTGCGCGCCTAGGTATTCGCCGAATCGGAATTCTTTTTTTTGTTGTCCTGGAGAAATCCGACGGGCTACGAAGCTCTTCGTAGCCCGTGTCCAGTAAACGGCAGTTCGCATTGACGCAAGAACGCCCACCGTATTGCCACCTATTATCAGCGCCCTGTGTGTCGTGTATTACCATGCATGTGTCGGTAGTTAGAAGGAGAACGGTGGTTAGCGCACTGCGGCTGACAAACCCCAGGTGGCGATTGCAGCTTGCGGACGACACCACTAACGTATAAATGAATCAGCCTTGGGCCTTCCCCTAGGTGGACTAAGCCTGAAATGAGTACCTGATGTATGCATAAGCAGTGGGGAGACAAAGGCAGCCGGGCGTGGTCTCTTGTCACTCGGCCCCTCGTGTGTCGCGTCGGCTTTAATTTGTTTTCACTAACAGCATTTGCCCAAACAGTCTGCTGGCTATATCGGGGGGTCTTTGTTATACAGTGATCCCTCGTTTATCGCGGTTAATGGGGACCGGAACCCCTCGCGATAGGTGAAAATCCGCGAAGTAGGATTGGCCCCCTAGGAATTTCCGTATATGTGTGTGTGGGTACCAGAATGTTTAAAATATGTATATTTATACTTTATATATATATTTTGCTTAAATCTATTTAATTATAAAACCTTAATATTATACATTCACTCTCTCTCATACAATACGTATTATGGTGTTCTACACTCACCAATGACAGTAGTATCTTGAGACTTGACTCCAGTAATGACGACGACGACGATAACAATGATGATGACAATGACGACGATGACAGACCTGTGCAGTTCGATGAATGTGATGATGAATGATGATGATGATGGTGTTACTGCACAGGTATAATGAGGCCTTTAAATCAGTTCAAAAAATCCGCGATACACTGAGGCCGCGAAACTTGAACCGCGAAGTGGCGAGGGATTACTGTATATCTCTTACCCATAAAATGAAATTTTTGTCTGTCTGTCTGTCCGTCTGTCTCTGTCTGCGCAATTGCGCTTGCGAGTGATTTGGCTCTCAAATGGTGGGGTTTACGTTAAATAAAATTTGCCT